CTATGGAGCTCTGGAACACCAACATTAAAGTCACAGACTCTGCAGAGGATGTGTTGTTTCTAGAGAGAGAAAAAAATACAATGATAATAGTGAAAGTGAAAGTGTAAGTTTGGTTTGAACCCCATGTTAAACGTAACACGTATATGTCCAGAAAATTAATAGACCATTATGATTCTTCTCTCTATGGGTCAGCAACATTAGTGAATCAGATACCAGTCACAATCTCGATCTGTGGTGAAGAGCAAACACACAATCTGGCCTTGAAAGTTTAATGCTGAAAGGACGAAAACCTGCGCAGCCCACTGAATAGAAACTTAAATAACTTCACAATACTGAGGACTGCTGTGATTGTGAATTATGGATGAGTCGTTGAAGTCGTTTTACCGTTAAATGGGAGAGAGCTTTAACAATATGATACAAAGCTTATCACATGCTTGATCCGTGTTTTTATGGGCATATGACAGTGTCCCTCAATTTGATCTTAAAGGCTTATCTCTGAAAGAAAGATAAAAACACTAGGAAGTTATTAGGATTAGGTAGATTATCCACAGAAAGGGTATATCTTTCAATGGATTAACGATGTCAGTGCATTTACCAAAACAAGGATGTACATATATAAGTATATATAAGTATATATATATATATATATATATATATATATATATATATATATATATATATATATATATATATATATATATATATATATGTGTGTGTATGTATATATATATATATATATATATATATATATATATATATATATATATATATATATATGTATATATATATATGTATATACATGCATATATACATATATACATATATACATATATATATATATATATATATATATATATATATATATATATATATATATATATATATATATATAAATATATATATATATATATATATATATATATATATATATATATATATATATAAATATATATATATATATATATATATATATATATATATATATATATATATATATATATATATATTCTCATTTTGGCTACTCCTCTGTAGGGGTCGCCACAGCAGATCAACTTTTTTCCATTTATCTTATCCTCAACCATGAACTTTCTTTTTGTTCTTTCTCTTTTTCTCTTGGTTGGTAACTCCATCCTCTACATTGTTCTGCCGCTGTACTGCCCGTCACTCCGCAGAACATGGCCAAGTCTTGACTCTCTTACTTTTCCTCCAAAACGTCTAATTTCAGCTGTCCCTCTTATGTAGTCGTTCCTAATCATATCATTCCTCGTCATTCCCAAAGAAATCCTCAGTATCTTGAGCTCAGGATCTCTAGCTTTGCTTCCTGTCTTTTCTAGTCCATTTAAAAGTGCCGGCCTTACCACTGTCTTATAAATTTTCCCTTTCACTCTAGCTGATGCCTTTTTGTCACAAATCACTCCTGACACTTTTTTCTATCTGTTCCACCCTCCCTTCTCCCTCCTCTTCTTCACCACTTTGCTACATTTCCCCCTTACACTGAACAGTTGAACCGAGGTAATTGAATTCTATCTTTGGCACTTCTAGACCTTGTATCCTCAACGCTCTTCCATAAACCCCGTCATTTACACACATGTATTCCGTCTTGCTCCTACTGACTTCCATCCCTCTTTTTTTCTTCATTACATTCCTCTATATCTCTAGATCTTCCTCCACCTTGTTGTCTCCTCTGGCTGCAGATGATTACCTCATCCCCGGGCATCCCCGTCCAATTTGAATTCTGTCTAATCTCATTCGTCAGCCTGTCTATCGCAATTGGAAACAGGGATGGACTTCAAGCCGAACCTTGATGTAATCCTTTGACTGTCACTCCCACTGCAGATCTCACTATTGTTTTATTTCCATCATGCATATCGTTTACTGCTCTTATATACTTCTATGCAATTCCAGACGTCCTCATATATTACCATACCTCGTCCTTTGACATCTGTTGTATTTTTCGTCTAAATCTACAAACACGTCCTTTCTCTCCCTCTCTATATTTCTCTATTCGCATTCTCAGTGCAAACAACGCATCAGTAGTACTTTTCCGTGAGATGAAGCCAAATTGGCCACTGATTACTATATCTTTTCTCAACCTAGCTTCCAGAATTCTTTCCGAAAGTTTCATGCTATTACAACTTTGTTTTCGAAAAATGGTATCAGTACACTTTTCCTCTATTCATTGGGAATCATTTCGCCTTCTATAAACTTGTTAAACATTTTATTAAAAACCCTACTGCCATTTCTCCCAGATATTCCCTTGCTTCAACTGGTACATCATCTAGACCAACTGCATTTTTGGTTTTCATTCTGCGCATAGCTTTCATCGCCTTCTTTGTTAATCTGTTCTATATCTCTGTTTATAATCTCTACCACCTCAGGCCTTTTCTCTCAATCTCTTCATTCATCAACTCTTCGAAGTACTCCTTCCATCTTTTCAACACTTTTCCTCTTTCGTCAGTGTTTCTTTTTTATCTTTCATCACTCTAACTTGCTGTGCAAC